TTTTTTTTTTTTTTTTTTTTTTTTTTTGCTTTTTTTTTTCCTTCTATTTTTTATTTTTAGCTCTTAAACATTTTTACAAAACAAACTCGTTTAGGGCCGTATTGAACAGAGATGTGAAAAAAAAAAAAATTGCCTCTACACATCGATATATATATATATATATGAAAAAAAAACTTTACAGTGAAATTTACAACAAAATTCAATTGAGCACTATTTGTGATGCATCTGACAGTACACACAAACACACACACACACACACAGTACACACTGATAAAACAGATGTCGGTTGAATACTGCAAAATTTCCTACAAATACATAGAAAATATCAAAAAAAAAAAAAAAGAGAAACAGAAAAATAATTGCATATTTTAATCGACTATTTTGCTGTTTTGAAACAGGAAGAAAATAAAATGGTGAAGATAAAAAGGAATGAAATGGGGATAAAACTGAAATAAACATTGGATAAACTGTTGACAGCAACTGTGTATTTTAAATACAACGGATATCTGTGCTATGTGTATGGTGTTTTGTTAAAACCAATTGAAACTTAGCTTCATCAGAACCGCTGTTGCAAATCGATACATCTAATTTGACAAGCAAACTAAATTGTTTGTGCTAATTTGACAACATTTGTTGCTAACATTTTCCGCTAAATTTCCTCTTCTCTTTTTTTTTTTCTCCCTTGCTAGCCTTTTTTCTCTACTACAGTAGTGTTTATATTAAGAGGTTTTTTTTTTCTCTCTCTTTCTCTCTCTAAAAATACTGTATAATTGAAGCTTAATGGTTGGAGCTCCAACAGCAACAGTAACAACAGATCCACATAATTTTCAACGGATTCGAGATACCGGAACTGTATACAAATGCTTGGTTACGGAACCGAAATGTGGCGAAGTTTTCTTTGATCTTGAAGGTTAGCAGAATAAAAATACTTTTATGGATTAAGTGCCAGATTTTACATTTATTTCTTTATTGCACACTGTCAACACTGAATCATTGTTGGTATTCTGTAGACAGATCAATATGATAGACAGATGGATAATTTGTTGTTACATGACAATTCAAACCGTTTTTGCTTTTATGCTCCTCTATTCTTCTGCTTTTTCTTCTTCTT